TGATGTTTGACTATTGAGCTTCTTAGTGAACCGTTTCCGCATCTTCTTGGCAAAGCCGAGTAATGTTTTTGAATTATTTTGGATAAAGTAGCGAACAACCAATATACCTGGCTCCACATGAACAGGTATATTAATAAATGTATATTTGCGATTTTGCAGCTTTCAAAATAGATTCACCGAAAAGAGAACTCTTTTCTGAACCAATCCTTCGGATTTGACAAACGATATTGAAATGAAATAGTTTTACACTAGAACCCCTTATTTAAAATAAGCATATTTTGTGCGTTTGCTAAGTTGTTGGCTCATTTTTCATCTTGTTAATCTCTTTTGCAGCTCACATCCTGTATAGCATTCTGGGGGTTTCGCCAGAATACCTTCAGACTAGACGCAAACATCTACTGAATGGATTTATTCAACATTAAAAACTAGATAGAATAACAACACAAAAGTCTTTCATCAAACGATCAATGTAATTTTTCAACTTTTTTTCTAGCTAGAATCAAGATTTCACAGATTGAAATCGTGAGTCAATTGAGGCTAGACCACCATGGAAAACCTGGAAGCACTGAACGGCCGTTTCGTCCTAGTATGGGGCTCCTCGGCAGTGCGCATTCACGACCCCGCACCCCGCGGGACTCGAACCAAGGACCTACCGGTCTCGCGCCAGGCGCTTAACCAACTAGACCACTGAGCTAGCTGGCGTCCAACGGTGTTAATGTCTAACTTCAACCAATTCACGAAGTTGCGCCACTGTACATCATTGTCTTCAGTGGACTGATATCTAGTGGATGCGCACTGCTGAGGAGTCCCATACTAGGACAAAACGGCCGTCCAGTGCTTCCAAGTTTTCCATGGTGGTCAAGCTTCAATTGACTCACGATTTCAATCTGTGAAATTTCTAAAATCTCCACAAACCTCTTCTGATAAAAATCAAGATTCATAATTAAAATTCTTTACAAAAACATATTGTTAATATTATTCGATTATGTGATGTAAAAGTGGAATTTTCTTTCTTTTACATTTTACACTTTTAGTATACAATATCTAATTAAATGATTAAACTGTCAGTTATATGAATAACAGTTAAGATAATAGTTTACATTAAATAAATTGCCAAAATCCATTAACAATTATAATTATCTTGTAATTTTCAACTGTAAACGCAATTAGAAATCATGGTATGTATGTTTAATCTGTTGGTATTAGCAAATTACAACATAACATGTCTATTTACTTTGATATTAAAAAGTTCGTTTGACGTAACTTATCATATTCATACGCATTTATTTTTTTGCTAATTCATACTTCAAGCAAAGTGTAAAAATTGAGTAAATTTATAAATACTGACAGAATTAAACAAAACGCACATAAAATTACATAGTGAAATCATATTGATGACTTGAAAATCACTTAAAGGAATGTATTCCTAACCATGCCAAAATATCACTCTACAGATATACATATAATTTATAACTTCCTCCTTTAACACTATTAATATGCATGACAATACCACAGAGATTATACTTAATATGAAATAGTTATAGTAGCATGATGAAAAAATATACTAACATAATTATAAGTCACAAGTAGTTATAAGTCAAGATTGACTAACTGAAATCATGAACCGAGTTAATTTAGAGCACCATTCAAAAGCTGATAGCACTAGATGGGGGTTTTCTCCTAGTATTAAAATCCTTAACGGTATGCATTCACAACTCCACATGCGGGAATAGAACCCAAGAATAATATTTATCATGAGTACTTCGGACTATATTGACAGCTTTTATTAAGTTGTATACTATTTAATATTTGTCATAAAATGTAGTATTGATATGCTATAACAAAATAGTGACTTTAGTTTTCAGTCTGCCTAAATGATAAACGGAAGTCAATGGAGAAATACTAATTGATAATCACCGTTAAACTAATAGAAATTATCTTTCAATGACTGCTAGGTTTTATTTCATGGATAAAAGATTAATTTAACTCACTTAGTTTTTGGAAAATTTGATTGAATAATATTTTTATTTACATAAATTTATACGAAGAGAATATCTATTGTCAAGTAGTTTGTGTGAATCACCTTTATTATACACAATTATATACATAAATGAACTTTTGAGACAGTAGAAATTTGCAGCTTAAAAGATAATTCCAGTTAAGATAAACTACTCAAACTCCGCAACATGCAATTAAATTAAATGTGTTAACCACGTGTAACGTAGTTCTAGTAGCTCATTCCTTTTTTGAATTACTAATGGTATAGACCTAAAAGGTAATTAAAACTTCATGTTTAGAATATTCGACTCAGAGAATTTAAATGCACCAAAATAATTAAGTATATGCAGTGCTCGATAAGTCATTCACTGGAAAAGAGAATGATGTATACACCGTAGTATTTAAATGAAATAAGTGTGTTTATCTTTTATTAAACTTCGAGGGATAAATTTCGATACAAACCATCGATTATAGATTCGTTTACCTCCTCTTCGACAACACATGTGAGGGTTATCCGTAACATCGGGCCTTTTGTGACCCGATATCTGAATCCAGTAAGACCGGACAAATAATAGTTAATAAACGATTGCTGTCGAAATATACATTCTGACTATTCTCGTATGTAATAATCAACTTAAATCGCGTTAACGAATAACGGAATTAAATATGACAAATACGAGAATGGATTTTTGAAGACGTATATTTTGTACACATTGATCTGGATAAACAATCAGAGGGACGAAGTGAGAAGAGAACGAAGCAAAACGACATGGAGTGGAGAAGGCATGTGATCCAACTCGATTTCATCAATAGTGAGTCAATATTTCTAGTCAGACAAAAATATGTTACGGACATGTGATGAGTAAGATAGAAATGCACCACATATGCTTACATAAAAACAGTCAAAGTTGATAAGCTAATAATTAACAGGGTCCAAACTAGACTCAAGAAGAATGAATAGACTGGCCTGTCCGGAAGCTAGAATAAGCTATGTGGGCTTAACATAGCACTACAGGCCCTCTAAACAAGTTTAATACTAGGTGGAAAATTTACTCACGTCATCTAGGACTGAATAATCTGTAGTAGACTATCTGATATCGCCCTAGTTTGTAACATTAAAGGATTAAATAGATAAACATACCTTTAAAAAACGAGTACGCTTAGGAAATATTTTCTCACGTTTTGTATTAAATTTTAAAATATTCGAACTAAGTTCCAGACAATGGAATTCAAAATATGTATTAATAGAGGTGTCATTTTGATCAAATCAATCTATTTCTTCTTGTCCGAACTAGTTTAAGGTTACATTATCGTTCGCACATCAAGTATGCTATTAATAATTATTTTGGTGACTAATTACTGACGTTTACACACGTACATGAATTGAAGAGACTTAGACGATTATATTGCTGTTTCTCCTAACAATAAACCTCATTTCTCTCTGATTCGATTACTTTCAGTATGTTAATTATACTACTTAATATTGCTCAGTAACCAATTTCACTTCCTCTCATTTCAGAATACAGTGTAGCATTTCAAAATATTTACATAAATTTGTAATATTCAGATTATCAATCACTGTAATTGTAAATTCCTAGTACTTATAATAGTTAGATCCAATTTCATATATTTACTGAACCATTGTACAACTGAATCTGTTTTGATTGAGCTAAAATCGAACTGTTAACAGTTTCAACTATACCTTTGCTTAACCACATCGAGAAGTGCTCGCAAGCTCGAAAATACAAATTCCTAAAACACCTGTCAACATAACTTGCTCCACAAGAGCAGTAGAATTGATAGATACAGAAAGTGAATAGTCTAGGTGATTTCTCTTTCAATATAGAAGTGTTCATCGGATGTGTAGAAAACAACAGTTGTACATTACCTGCATTAAAAGTTCTTTAAATTGCTCTGCGCAACTATAGTATTAGCATTTCACCGGGTGCACCACCTCTTAATTGTAAACACATAAACAGGCTTTTTGATCACAGTTAGGCCTTCCTTATACTCTCCTTTCTTGGTTAAATGTTTATTGATAAATTTCTCCGTATATCTATCTTCATTCAGGGTAATAGGCAATATCTTTTTTTCCTTTTTAATTGCATCTAGGGAGCATAGGGTCTTGATCTATAGTGAACTGTCTCAATCAGTTTCGTTTTATATTGTAGAGGAACAAAACTAGGAAAATTTTCATATAGGTCAGTTCAAGTACTTTTCTTGTTTAAATTTCTTAGTGAATCATCTATTCCCCTTGTAAGCAGAACATCTAGAAAGAATATTCTATCTCCATTCCCGTCCATACATGTGAATTTTATAGACGGATGAACTTCCTTAACTCACTTGAGTATTTTCATCAGGTCAGTATGGTCGTTACAAAGGACGAACATATCATCCATATACCAGCAGTAAGATGAATACTTGTCAACCTACTGCACGAGTGAACCATATTCTAGTTCAGCGAGAAAAATGTCAGACAATATGGGACCTAGTGGTGAACCCATCGCTATACCATCTATTTGTCTATATATTTCACCATTGAATTTGAAGTTTACGTTCATAGTACATTTGTAGAATATATCAGTGAACAACTTCGAGAACAAAAAATAGAGACTACAATCTTTGTGGAGATCATCAAGGAACTATCAATAACACTACCACTACTTTGATATTCACATTGATAGTTGCATCTTGTTGTTTTGATGTGATGTAGTAAACTTGAGCTAACATATACTTGTGTGACGTTCTACTCTGATTGTAACCGACTGACTAGTGCAGTACTACACAAAGTAGTATTTCGTTCACCAAAAACAATCTAAAATCATCTCATAAATTGAAATTATAAAAATTATAATCACTATCAACATACTTGTATTCCAGAGTAATATTCAATATACTCAATAAATTATCTGTATTTTAATTAACAGGAACACAGTCTGATAATCCCTTTTTCTCTCTCTCCCACACACACCACACTCTTTCTCTTTCATGAGTAACAACAATAACACTTCATATATATTTATGTAAATACATATACATACTACAAAAAAATAAACGAGTCAATATTGTCATCTTCGTGATTTTTTAGCTTGAATTATAAATCTTTCAGGTATACAATCAAGAGAATGATTATTTAAATGATCCAATATAAATTGTTTATTACTTTCAGTTAATAATTCATCGGTTGATAATTTATAGTCTGATTCACACCACTGTTCACGTAGTTTAAATAAAACTGGTCGAATTAATTTATTACGTATACCCCATTGATCAATAATTAATGTACCACTGACTGGAAACTTTGGTGGTTGCCATGATAACCATTCATCAATAAATAATTTATCTTTGCCTAAATATTTTAATAATTCAGTTATAGCTGGTTTTATTTTATTCGGTTCAAATGATAATAAATATTCTTTTTGATAAAATTTCATTTCATTTTTATCATTTTCATTAGATAAATTAAAATAATAATCGCGTTTATGTAATATGTACAATAGAATAGTTAAATCTAGATTAGATAAACGTAAACGTTTGTCTAAGTTCTCAACCTGGAAACAAATAACGGTGAAATGGGACAAAAATAAAATAAAATAAGATAAATAAACAAACACATAAGTATCATGATCTTAGTGAAAATTATAATAAAAAATAAAAAGGATTAAATGACTCTAAATTAGGTAGTAAATAAAAACAAAATATACATGACAATGTCTCCTCACCTACATATAATATGGTGGGTTTACGTAATTAAAAAATATTAACCTACTTGCAAATATAACCAATGGAATCCTTAGAAGTGAGAAGTAAATTGCTCGAAGGTGAGGAAAGCTGTTATGAGTTAGCCAGCTAGTCAATCATAGGTAACGTTGAATATAGTACATGTGGTACATCGGTTTAAGTTGCCACAACTCATCACCACAGCGAGGTAAAATTATCAAGAAAAAACACTAGAGTAGTAGAAGTATTAACAGTATCAGTGGTAGGAGAAAACATTAAGCACAGACAATATAATTAAAGAATAAATCTGTGGAAGGAAACATATAAAACTACCTTGAAACTTAGTATCTATGGAAATACAAAAACTGAATGGACATGCACCACTGAGATCGATTCTAAACCACATCATTTAATACCTCCGAACCTGTGGTCACAGTAACCGCACAAACCTCAACCATATATATCGACATGATTCAGTCCAGTTGTCAATAACTTTATGAACTGATGCAGCATCTTGGTTTAACTGCCATTAGCTTCCTTCCAACTTACTCCTACTCCAGCTAACATTACCCATTGAGGTAGATGGTGGTTAGGAATGTCTGACACGTATCCTAGTTACCTCAATCGCTGCAGATTCCTAGCATGGTCAACCGATTTACCTTCTTGTACCCTGAGTGCAAACTCGCGATTGTTCACCAATTTGATCCAAGATACGTGAACAATGCTTTAAATAAAAAACCTGAAGTTTAAGCATATCTTTTACCATCAAAGACTGTGTTTTATAGCAATGAAATAGAGCAGAGTAAACCACTGAGTAGTATACCGCCGCTTTGTTTGAGAGATCGACACCTCACCTACACTACAGATGATGCAAGTTGGCAAAATCCTAGAGATTTTAGGATGGATTCTAACTATACTTTCGACCATTAATTTTAGATGTTGTAACAGAGCGGCTTTGAATCGAAATTGAAATGAATTTTAGCCCAACGTTTGAACAAATGAAATTGTTTCAAAAATGACTGAACTTACTTCAACAGGCGATGTCATAATTGCAGCTAAACAAGTAATCGGGTTTGGTGCAGAAGAAAGTATACCTCTATTCCAAATTTTATCTAATTCCTTAAAGTTAGGGTTTTCGGGAAGACCTAAATGAACAAATAGCCCAGCATCTGCCATCCGACGTAAAAGGAATGGAGTTGAAGGGTATAATAGAATTTTCTTCAATTCACTGAAACAGCGTTCACCAGATATTATTGACAAACCATTAGCATTTGAGGCTATAGTCTATTATTATTAAAAAACAATATTGGGATTTAAAAAACTCAGAACTCTATAGATGTAACAAGCATACAAGCATATGAACTATAAAAAATCACATATTGGAAAATGTTATTATTCGTTAAAAATCCCCCCAGGATTGTCGAAAATTGAATCCATTTGGAACATTATTCCAGAAACAGAATAAAAAAGAAAGTTTAATTCTATACTAATGAAACATGATTAAGTTGCCTTGTAGAATAATATCTATCATAGAGGCTCCAACTCACGTCCTAAAACCAGTTCAGACGAGAAGTCTTCTAATATGCCATGAGGTCTAAATGAACACAAAATACATAGCATGCTTATCACACTAACTTATCTTCCCGATTCAAATGCTTCGTTCATTGAACAAAAATAGAAAAGTAGTCAGTACACTAGCTGTTGACAGACACTATCTTTAAGTCATTTTGGAGTGGCTAATAATAGTTTACATGTTAATTGTTGTTCCCAAAAAATCAGGGACTTAGATTAATAGTCACCACTAGAGATCCAAATTTACTATACTCTGCATTAAAGTCGCATGACACGTTCAACAAGTTGTTGGTTAAACGCTAGATATTGATGTCTTTTTGAACACTTAGTCCCTGTTTAATATCCATCTTCAGGTGAATGGGACTAACAGATTATTTCGCAACTTCTAGCACCTTCGACGCAGTTGAATCCATTTTAGTGTTATATGCAGAGTTTCTTTTTTTTCAATAAGACGTCTTCAATGTTAGACTATTACTACTACTGCTAGTTCCTAAGGAAAGGGGTGCACAGTACATCTGTAAATTCCTTGGGATATTTAATATTCATAATCTAAAATAAATGGTTGGAAAAGCTTGACGTTAAAATTGTATATTTAATATTGCCCCACTTTTTTCACTTACCACCTGAATAGTCATTTAGAGAACAAAAAAAATTAGGTATTTCTGAAACGCCAATATGAGTGGTATTAAGAATACTCTCATCCATCTATTTTTTGAGGAGTTTGTATCGCGTACCTTTGTCACAGCTTCAACTAAAATTTCTCAAATTTTGTTGTTAATCCTGTTATCTGTAAATTCATGCTGGTCACAACTAGTGGGGAACGTTGAAATAGAATGAATTAATATTATTATGCAAGCCGTTTATTGTCATTACTTCGTTCAAAGCTACAAAGAGAACTAGACGCATGAAAAATTCTCGGATTTAATTTTTTTGATTTCTAATGAGAATGAGATGGCGACTATGGAAATCAGGGTAGACGCAGAGAATGAATACTCTACAGTTGATTCAAAACATGTATTGACCCTAATTTAGTGACTGATTAAAAACCAAATATCAATAAAGCTGTTCCATATCTGACATTTTGATACTCTGACAAAACCCAGATGACAGATAACATAGTTTATAGTGTTCAGTATAACTCTGAACTTTCCCAAGTAAAAATACTTTGATAATTCATAAACAGTACACACACTAAGGAAATATAAGTATGTTACTAAAGTTATTAAACTCATATTTAAAAACGAAATGAATAATCCCTACCAGAAAGAAAACGTAAAGTTGTTAAACGATGCAACTAAAAAACTGAAATGTTACAATTATTCACTCGAAAAAGTGGTCCGTACCTTCAACACATCTTCATCATGCCTATCATATGTGTCTTCTGTTGACAGACGACCATGAAATCGGAAATATCTTAGTATTCTTAAGTAATCCTCTTTTATCCTAGCATCTGGATCCCCTACAAATCGTATGCGATGATTTTTCAAGTCATCGCAACCGTTAAAATAATCCCATAAATGTCCTAACACTTTTTGTTTATTACTTGTATTATTTTCATTTGCGGAAGAATCTGTTGTTGCTTCATTAGCCTCATCAAATAGCTCCTGCATATCAACACCTAGAAACATCGAATTCACTGTAAGATCTCTTCTTTCAGCATCTAACTTCCAGTCATTTGTAAAGACAACTTCACTATGCCTTCCATCTGTGACAACATCAATACGTAGAGTGGTAACTTCAAAATTTTCCTGAAAAAAGAAAACATTTATTTTAACTTAATTTCATCTAAATTTGTAGAAACAAATATAGGTTCATATGCTCAGCTATAATATTTATCGGTTTCATGAATTTTGTTGACAATATTACTTCGACCGAAATGTATAATGTGTTCACTGTTTAGTCTTTTTCAATCATTCCGATTCCTCAGCGATTTCAACTCCTTGTGGTATGGTGCGGTAACTTGGGTGGATGGACATTTATGTCAGGTCCTATTGTTGGTTACTACTAGTTAACTGACTAAAAATCCATATTTAATGCATCGATGTAAAAAAAAGCTCCGTATCCTACTATACAGTGTGACTTGCAAGGGTGGTACACCATGAATACAGATGAAAAGCAATTAGTTTAACGAATTATTAGTTATGACAGCAAGAATGTTTAATTCAGTCTGATAATTACAAGAATATTGTGATGTATGTAAAGTTAAGCTTCATTTGAGTTTTCTGATGGTTAATTTTGAAAACAGAATATCAAACAAAGTTCATTGCAACATACCTTTACATTACATACCAACCGAATACCGATCTTTATAAAAAAGTACTGCTAAAATGAGAATTTAGTGGCATTGTTGTGTGAATTTACTAACCTATGACAACTCAACCAAATTTAGAGCTGTACGTATTTATGATAGGGACATACTGTAGCTAGAATATTTATTATTTAACAAAGTTGAGAAGCATGAACAGATAGGTATTTGACCATCAAATATCTGACTGGTAAAACTGCTTCTAAACGTGGAACCTTCTTAGTAAACTTTTATGCGGTTTGAGTTTATTACGGACCCACGACTTTCAAAAAATAAGCCAGATAATGCACTGGATTTAACTTAACCAAAAGATGCGTGTTATGTCTCATAACCTGGAACTATTAACGACTAAGACCAATATATAGGTACTTTACCTTATTTATATACCAAAAAATATTTTTCAATACAACTCAGCAACTACATACAGTTGCATGTACTAGCATCCGAAGATAACTTATTTAGGGTGTGGTTAGATCAATAAGAAATGAAATGTAGTTGATGGTAACTATGACGTTTTTATTCGCTAGTCGTCTAAGAAATTCTGTATTTTTAAATGTGTTAAAATGCGCTGCTCTGTGTGTATCAGGAACCTACATTTATTAACTGTGGTTACATTGGATTTAGCCTTTATTAATTTAGGATAAGCTGACTGGTGACATCAGTGATGAAAGCAAGAATGATAACCATGTTAATATCAAGCTTATGTTAAACTTATCTATGAGCCATTCAAATTCGCCGGGAAGTGACAAACGTTCATAACTACCATCAGTAGTATTTATAAGTATTATTGTGATCCCAGATCCCTTTACAGAGGACTGGGGAACCATCCAAATGTTTCTTTAGATCAAATTTCAATCTGATGTAGCTCCTGCATCAAGCAGCTGTTTATGTACTAGGCTTTGAACGACATACGCTTCGTATGAAGACTCATTAAATAAATCGGGTGCCCAAACCAAAGTAGACAGATCAAGGTCCTAATATATATCTTAATTGGTGGGAGTCAAATCCTTTAACCAACAAGCCTAAACTTCTGGTTACTTAGTAATAAACATATATGGTGATAGGTATGAGAGATAATGATGTCCAGGCAGAAAATGAAAGACTAAAGTTGTATCACCTAGTTACAAAACAAAATATTAATGGAGAACTTTTGTACCTACAAAATATGTCAAGTCATACTACACCTATTTATAGGTAAGACAAGTGAAAATACGTTAAATAAACATTTCATGTGAATATAACTATACCTTATCATTAATTCTGGCTGTAACAGTTCCATGTGATTCTCCATTTCTATTCAGCATTCGAATTCCTTCCTTGGAAAACATTTCACACATCTGAGGTGGAGTAGCATTTGTTGCGAAGTCAATGTCATGTGGAGAAATTCCTAGTAAAATATCACGTACTGCGCCTCCGGCGATACGTAGATCAAACCCATACTTATTGAAAATTTTATGTAAAATGATGTTCTCTTTAGTATATAACTCAGGAAATGGTGTTAAATCTATTGTGTCCGTAGTAAGTGGACGTCCCATTGCAAATGAAATAACACTATCTAAGAGATGTGAGACATTTAAACGAAAACTTTACTGAGAAATGATGTTCTTTTAGTAGTCAGAGGACAACGTATCAGACGGAACATCTCATGGCTTACTTTCTTTCCATAGAGACCTGAGACCTAGAGTCAAAACCTAAATTTACAAAGTTAGTACTTGATAAGAAATACTTAAGAACATAAAAAAGCATCACAATGAAGCATACAGTGGTTAAAAACGTTGAAACTTGGAAGCATATCAGTCAGTGCACCTTGATGGATTGCAATGCATACTGTTTTCAATTATTGTGGACATCTTTAGTATAAATAACCAATAAAATACAGGTTCGTGTTCCCAACACTTGGCCAGTTTTTACGTGATTCCAGTAATACCTTACTATTTTTGCAGATGACTCAGTGTCTAAAAACTCACTTTCACCAGCCCTATTGAGATATTTGTTAAAGTTCTACACTCCATAGTCACAATGAAATAAATCCCTTATAAACACCAGAACATAAGTAGCGCTTTAGAAACTTTTTGGTTGCGAGAAAAATGAGTAGCAATGCAATACAGACGACCATCTGTGTACTACCAAATTCAGAAGACAAGTCGCCATAAGCTCTGACTCGACTAGTAGTGTTCCAGTAAAGAGCCTTCACAAGGTTTATGTACTTTTAAGATACACCTTAAAATGACGGACACTGCCACAGAACCTCTCAGTCTACAGAGTCAAATGTTGATTTTAAGTTAAGAAAGACCACAATTGTCAGACGCCGGTAAGCATACTTGTGTTCTAAGATCTGAATAATGGCGAATATGTGGTCGATGCAGCCATGACCAGGTCTGAAGTTAGCCTGATTTTCCCGTGTTTGCAGTTCATGAGTCTTTATTAGGCGTCCGATTATAATTGATGTTAGTATTTTAGATGCTATATTGGACAAAATAATCCCACTATGGTTATCACAGGATGATTTTGACTCCTTATGTATTGGGACAATCAGTGATAGGGACCATTCAGATAGGATTACGTCCAACTCCCAGATTTGAGCTAAAATATTAGTCTGTTGGCAATATGGTCTATTTCAGTTTGGTGTAGGGGGTCGCCATGTTAGACGATGCCTCTCATGCTTAGAATTGGTGCTTGTTAAAAATAAACGATCGTCTGAGCACAGCTGCAGTAGACGGTCACCATTATCTGTTCGCTGAGCCAGAATACACAACTACCCACCTAAATGTCTTCCCATCTGGTTTAATCTACCTACTTGGGCATTAAAGTCATCTACTACGAGTACTGCGTCTGAGTGCTTAGATTTTTGAAGAACTTTGGGAAGCTCTCTGTAAAATTCATCCTTCACTTCGTCCGGGTTACAGTCAGTGAGAGCGTAGGCAGAACTGACGAAAACGCAACGCCACGTGCCCCTATCCATCCGAGTTCTTACGGAGCCGTTTAGCCGAACAGCATATAGGCGACTGTTAACGCCAATCTATTCTAACAGTGCCTCTTCTGCCTTCATACTTACTGCTATGCCTAGACATCAGTCGATGAGAACTAGCCATCTGGTCGCCAGATAGACGGAGGGTGAATCTGGTAGGCTCTCTGTTTTGGCGAGGTGAGGTCAAGTCAATGACCACATTAGCATCCTGTATACCTATTTTGGAGACACAGAATACATCAATCGTACGAGATCCTATACAACGAGGCCTGTCGGCCGATTTGACACAGAGTAAGTACACTGAAGGCCCTAATGTGTGGTTTGGAGCCAGGTTTCAGTAGACTTGAGAAAGTATTTTGCGCACTAGAATCGTTGGCCATGGTGACACTTGAGGAGGAAGTTCAGAGTTCAAAGTCGAGGTAGGAGGAATAATAGGAACCGAAGGGGAAGATTGATTATGAATATAGTGGTCTTGAATGCTGTCAGAGGTATGAGAGCGGGTTTTCCTTCCCGGTTGCACACACCGTTGAAGGATCCTTCTGGAGATACCTGACAAAGAAAATCGGGTTAGAGTTGGCCTTAGTGACCTGAGAGCTTGCCCGTAGTGTCCAAGGGACAACTGCATGAGGCAGGTCACACAACACCTTTTTGTGAGTAATTTTCGTGTTAGCTCAGCGGGATGATAATGCTAAATTGTCATATTTCTTAGTTAAAAGAAAATAAAAATATATGAGGTAACTTAGAATACAAGAGACTGAGTCGTTAACAGATTATTGTTCCTTTTAAGTTTTCTAAACTCTGGAATGAAACGTGAGGAGGGACATTTAATAATCAAAGTAGCGAACATGTCGTAATGTTGCCATTACATTATTACTTTCAATACCCACAAAAGACAAGTGGCCAGGTAACTTTGGTTGATCCTGACAGTGTTGGTATCTCAGGTGATCCGAATATTTTTGGAGAGTCAACAGATGAAGTTTCAACGACGTGCTGAGGTAATGAATTTCACTCGTTGATGATTCGTAGGAAAATCGATAGTTAGCTGACAAGTAACTTGTCCTGGGCTTGTGAACTTTTTAAGAGTGGCCTAGCAAACTCTCTAATTTGGAAGAAGAGAAAAATGAAGGCACGCCAGACGCGAATTTATCACTAAGAAATTCGAAATCTGTGATCAAGTTCCCTCTGGTTTTTCGGTATGTCATTAGGAATAGGTTTAGTTTAGCCAAGCTGTTATCATACAGGAGCTTTGCTATCCCGAGAATCAGCTTAATTTCGGTTCTCTGAACCTTCTTCGAAAGTGCTCTGCTCTTTTTGAGCAGGGGCTAGCCGTTTGTATGCAGTACTTGAGCTTAGGAGCTCTAACACTGTACACAACGTCAAAAAGCTTTAGCGTCAACATGGATAAAGGCCTTACGTATTGATCATAGGGTTCCAAAATCTTTATGACTAGTGCACGGCAGTGTGTGATAGTGGTTAGGTCTTGGCTAACGACGACTCCTATGTCAATAACAGGTAGCTCAATATTATTTCTCATGTATGTATCTGCATCTTGATCACCAGTATGCATCACGATACACTTGGAAGCATTTATCGGCAACTTCCAAGTTTGAGACCATTCAGATAATTTCTCCAGGTCATTTTGAAGTTCTAAGCTATTAGCTTTAATTCTTATAGCTCTCTATATCTTGACATCGTCACCATATAGCAGAACCGATGATGAGAGGGAACGAGGAAGGTCATTTGCATATAAGAAGAATAACACTGGTTCCAAAACTTTATCCTGAGGCACTCCGCCAAGCATAGTTTCCCAGCTGGACAACTTTGAATTCACCCGTACTCTTAGTTGGCGGCCAACAGGGCCGTCCTGAACCATGGTGGGGAGTTTCTCGGACCCTTCGGTTTAGTCCGAGGGATGAGGAGTGCAGTGATCTTTAAGTACAAAGTTCCAAAAACATCCCAAGCTCGAAAGAGGGGGAATTTTATCTCTATTGTCCAACCTACTGAGGATTCAGAGTGTATGATATCTTTTATATTTTCTTTTCAGACGTTAGGTTTGGGTTGGGCTGACATATGCTCACTCATGACAACACAACAGCTACCCCCCTCCTTTACGCTTCTGGAATTTATCCACGCGCTTTTAAAACGAAAAGTTTAGTCCTAAAGAGATTTGCACTTTTCATACTTTTGTTGTGTCCTTACGCAACAAAAGTACCATTTCAGATCTAAAGAATCTATTCTGAGCTATACATTTGGCAGATTACTTTTTTCTAGTTTCACCCAATTTAATAATAAATTGTGGTTTTACTTCAACTTACTACTCGGTTTTTTTCCAGTTTCTCACGTAAAGGCTTGTTCAGTTTTTCTTATCCGTTTTTATCCGTTTTTTCCCATTTTTAGTGTATTTTTGAACGGTCTTAGGCTTTTGCTAGCACCTATAATGCAGCTTACGTCAATATAGTCATGAAAAATTCATGCAAACGAGCAGGATGCCGTTTCGCTTTTACATCTAGCATGAAGTGCGACATCTGCAAACGTTGGTTCCATGAAGCGTGCACAGATATCACAACAACTGCTTACAAAAGATTCAGCAAGTCGTATCATAAGTGGGTATCTGTTACATGAAGCACGGATGCTGTAGTTTTGCTGACTGACATCATTGTCCTATTGACAGGTCTGCGGAACAAGTTGTCAGCAAACTTGGAAAAAGACAGTCGTGAAAAGGGTAGACAAAGGCGTGCAACGGTAACAAGAATAGGTATGTCGACAGGTTTAGCACGCACTAGCACTTGTTATGACATGCTGAAACTCAGCACCACCACTACGCTGACGTTAATAGAATTCCTCAGCAAGCTGGGGTCTCCCAGCCCAGGGTCCTTGAATGCAACAGTCATTTCCATAAACTCTGTAGGTTGTTGGACCCACGTAAACAGAACCAAAAAGAACCAGGCGTCACCATCTAAGCTGAACACTGCAAGTGTTGTTCGTATATCATCTGGTGATTTTCTCGTACAATCTACCCCGAGAATGTCCGTCCGGTCATCAAAAAGCCTAGGACTAAGAAACGTGCTTCGACCACCAAACAACAAGGTGCTGAAAACACGAACCCTAGTCAAGCATACTCTGATATTAGGGAATAGAAATTCATCAAGCAGTTCTTGAGGCTCAAAAACATACTGACTCAATATGTGACGAGACCAGCCAAGAAGGACTGTGTTCTAGACCCCGGCTAATGAGGATTGCTTTCCCATTCTCCCATATGGCGGCTGCAACTCTGGAAGTATTTCGTGCCAACAGACGTCGGTTGCCAACTGGATTCCATCTGCACCCGAACAGGTCACATGGTGCCAGGATCAAGCACAAAGCCAAGTTGGAGCTGACCATTACACTTGTGGACTGTCTTGATCATAAAAAATCATGTAAAGAACAAAGCCTTCCAACTCGGCAAACCTTATATAGGTAGGCTACTTGTCCATTCACGTAAGGCTCATACAGACAAACAGGAAAAAGCTCATGCGTTTCAAATTGAAGGCATAAACTGCTTATACATGAACGCAGTGAGTCTACCAAACAAAATGGACGAGCTACGTTACCTCAGCAATGCTAATAAGACTCATCTGATAGGAATATCTGAAATTTGGATATCTTCTCAGTTTACGGACCAGGAGCAAGCAATATCTGGGATGTCTTTGTTTCGCAACGACAGAAAAACGGGAATTGGGAGTGGAGTAGCCGTATGCATACGATCCTGCTTGGAGGTAAACCAAGTTCACAATCATGAGTTTAACAATCTTGATGAATCTGTATGGTGCTCTGTAAGATTGACTACTACTTCGAGATGCCTAGTCGGAGTCATATATAGGAAACCCACTGCTGACATTGAGTATGACAGTCGTATGCTGGAAGGACTATCCCGCTCTACGCGTCTCGGATCCACTCACATACTGATTCAAAGGTACTTCAATCTCCAAGAGTGAATTTCGCGGAACATACGTATATTGGAGGTGAAAACTGAACTGAAGCTCGGTTCTTTAACCTCATTGAGTATCTGAGATGATACGAAACTGTGAAGTCGACAACTCGTTGGAGAAGCAGTCAGATATCATCGCGCTTAGACTGTGCGTTTACAAACGAAGAATGTCTAGTTGACAACCTTGATTGACAATCCTTGATCACCTGGGGGAAAGCGATCGCGCCGTTATATCCTTCAGTTTTGTCAGCAAAAAATGCAAACAGCAAAAGCTACAAGCAACCTGCAATCATCAAGAACTGCGCTCTTCGCATGCTAAGCCGCAAAAGGCGCTGTTGGGCAGAATACAAACGAACTGACAACAACGGCATATACAGGCAATACAAACATATAAGGAACATATGCACGAAGGCTATAAGAGAAGATATGCTTCAGTACCAGAATAAGCTTATGGATAAATTTGTCTTCGATTCGAAAAGCTTATGCCGTTATGCAGCCAACTGCTAGATCCTAATGGCCCGAACAATAGCGATGGCGACGCCGCTAACCTTTTGGCTGAACAATACTCTCGGACATTTCAACCGACCAACATCAACTATACTGACGACAGCTTCATATGCAACTTCACAGGACTTTCCGCAGTGAACCTGAGCGCTGACTTGGTGTTCCGGAAACTGCAGCACCTAAGAAAAGACACTTCTCCTGGCCCATATATGATCCATTCTGCCATACTGAAGGAAGCAGCCTCAATCCTGGCGACACCGCTTAGCGTGATGTTCTCACACTTGCTAAGCAGAAGCAAACTACTGCAAAATTGGAAACTGGCTCATATCACACCAATTTTCAAAGGAGGTCGACGCAGAGAACCTTCAAGTTAACGGCTGGTGGCTCTCCATACCTTCGAAAATCATGGAGTCCCTGATATGTGATGGTATACATGGCTATTTACTGTCCTTAAATCTCTTCTCACCCCAACAGCATGTTTTCAGGAAGGGTTACTCTTGCATAGCCAACATACTGACTGCGGTGGATAGATGGACGAGCATCCTTGATCGCAAGAAGTAGGCTGATATAATTTACCTTGATTTTTCAAAAGCTTTTGATAGGGTCAGCCACATATGTCTTATCAATAAACTCAAACGATTGGGTATCAGACAACCTCTAATTGATTGACCCACTTCATATCTGAAAAATCAGCATTTTAGGGTCACGGTTAACTTCACTTTATCTCAGGCTATGGAATGTCCTAGTGGTGTCCCCCAGGGCTCAGTACTAGGACTTCTCTTCTTGATTTATACAACTGATCTTCCACAACAGCTGTCGTCAGACCTATTACTTTTTGCTGATGACGTGAAATTTTGGAGAGAGATGTGCAACCAAGACGATTTAAAGGCACTTTAGGAGGATCTGATTCAACTTCAGAGTTGGGCAGACGATGGCTTACAGTACCCTTAACACTTCTGAACATCCCCCTAAACACCTACTTAGGCTTAATCCCAATACAAACCTAAGGGATAACACCCAGAAATTGGAGATACAACATAGCAGAACGGACTGTAGACTCAACTTCTACTCCTTAAGAGTTGTCAAATGCTGAAATTCGTTGCCGACTGAACTAGTTCACGTGACTTCTCAGGAGTCCTTTAAGAAGAAACTTGACCTATTATTAAGGACTAAGTATAACATGTTATTATGAGTTACCAATTTTCTTTTTTTAAATCTATTATAGTTAATATACCTAGTTTCCTGCCTGGAGGTATTAATGATTCTCTACCACTAGAAACGTAAGTCTGTTAAGCGAATGCTTCTTCTATTCCGTCCACAACCATTTGAACCATTTGAGCTCTTACCAACGTAAAACTTTCAAAATCACGTTCCATATCATCTACAG